TAATTTGAAATACCTAATAAAATTTTAGACTTGTGATTTTCAGTTGGAAGTATTTTAAAATGTTATTAAACAAATGGAAAATGTTTTAGAGAACTTAGAAGTCATTATACTTTTAATTTATTATGTTGGTGAAAGTTAAGCACCTGGGAACGTTTGGCTTACTAGGTCACACATTAGAAGTGCTGTTGGAAAGAATCAGGTTTTGTAAATGTAAATGCTATTATATTTTTAAAGGAATTTGAATTGTAAATGAGACTGTTAGAAGAAATTTAGTTTGTTCAACATTTGTGTTGAATTCCACCGAACATTAATTAAAGGCATCCTTGGAAGTGATTATTAAAATGTAGTTATTTTCTAAATGGAATATTTCTAAGTTATACTTAAAAACTTTAGGAAAGTTTTAAAATGCCTAATTTTAAGAGTGAGCTACAAATAGAACTTATCTATGATCCAAATAGTGTCTTGAACCCTAGGAGACCCTTGTGGGTAAGTAGTTGGCTGTGTGCCCATGCCCTTTGCCATAGTTAACTAAACCAGGCTGAGGGCGATACTCCTGACTCAGGTTTTCTCAGGGACTTGTAATTGGGATTTTTAATAAAGTTCTTCTTTGGGGAAGATTAGGGAGAAGAATGAATGCTCCATACAGAGGAAATGCAAAGATCTCCTGCCTCAGCGATCACACTAAAGGGGGCCGCAAGCGTTGTAGTTTCTGATGACTCTGATGCCTGTTTCCTAATCCTGCCTGTCCTCGCTGCCCTTCGGGGGTCTATGAAGTTCTTTGGAATCTTCTAATAAATGTTTTTGCTTAAGTGCATGTCAATGAGTTTCTCCTACTTAACAACCAAATGGCAGAAAAACAATCCTGGTGTTTATGGAGACGCAAGAACTGAGGTAATATCAGTGAACAAAACAGTAAGCCCTACTTTCTTGGAACTAATACTCTAATGTAATAATATTCTAGTAAGCAGATGTTCTTCAGTAAACAAAGTATGTAATAGGTCAGATGATGCTAAGTTATGTAAATCAAGTGGTGGGGGCCAGGGTGGAGGTTGGGAAAGAGGTTAAGGGTGGTAGGTGAACTGGGGATATAGCTCAGCGGCGTTAGTGCCTTCGTGGCAAGTGCAAGGTCCAGAGTTCAATCCTTGGTACAAAAAAAAGGGTGGTAGGTGTGTTGGAGTGTTTACAGAAGAATGGGGTGGGGTGGGAAGACCTCAGCCAGATGGGCAGAATGCTTCAGGAACCAAGGCACTTCCTCCTCGGCTGAGTGCAGTGCCAGCTGGCGTGGTGGCCGGTGCAGCGCACCTGGAGCAAGGGAATGAGGAGCAGCGAGAGTCAAAGGAAGTCGGAGAACCGGGAGGAAACTGGAAAGATCGTACATAGACATTAGGGAGGGGTTCTGTAACGAAACAGAAAAGTTGGATGACTGGCAGAGGGAGGTGAGTTGGCTTTAAAAAGGTATGACTGGAATGCGAAAGAACACTGGAAGGTGACCCATTTGAGGTTTGACATATGTACCCATGCAGCGTGTCTTGATACTAGTTCAGGTTCCTCCTGCCTCTTGGTACTCCTACTCTCCCCTGCCCTTCAGGCCATTCTTTTTTTTTTTTTTTTTTGGTGGAACCAAGGATTGAACTCAGGCCCTTGGGCTTGCCAGGCAAGCACTTATTCTACTGAGCTATCTCCCCGGCCCCTAAATT